ACCATGTTGATGGGTTTGTATTCTTCGATACATTTTTCTTTAAAATCAATAAAGATGCGTTTTATTTCCTTTTCGCTATTTTTGCATTGTCACTTTGCGTGCTTTCATTGGGTCGGAACGTGTCGGCCCCTTTGCGTATATTAGCGAAATAGGTTTTAACTTTTAAGCTTTCAGCTTACGTTTTCGATCCGTTTTGTTCTACGTTGTAAGAAGCACTCGTGCTTTCCTTTTGATCGAGTGTAACGGTGTTCGGTTAGTTGTTTGCCGAAACAAGCTGTTGCGGTTTCAACGTTCGGTGAGTGATGCTTCGGCCGATTCATTTCGCCCCCCTGGCCTTTTTCGCTGATCAAGCGTTAGCCTTGGGGTTTTTCCACAAATTATCAATCACACAAATAAATAAAAAGAAGGCGGAGGACACATAGATTTTATGCTGGTTCGGGCCTCCGTGGTGGATAATAGCCCTACATCTATTTTTTGTCTTTTTTTCATTTTCCTCTTTTTTTTCTTCTTTTTTCTTTGCCGAAAGGCTTACATAGTGCCGAAGGGCTTACAAAATGATATATACATTTTTAGAAATTGGCGATTTGAGTGCCATCCGTTCTAGACATAGAAACGCTTAAGAGAGGCAGCGTTCCAGGAATGGTCGAAGATCCCGTCCTGGACTTGTTCTTGATGAGGTACGGTCCTTCCCACTTCGATTCAAGCTTGCCAACGGCTGTCGGGTTCGCCTTCTTCCTTAGGACAAGATGTCCAGGCAACAGCTCCGTCGGTCGAACTTTTTTGTTGTAAGTTGCCGAAGTGCCTATGGCATAGTTGCGCATGTGTTCGAGTGCTTCGACTCTTACTTCCTCCAAGAGTTCGAGCGACACCTCGCGCCCCTCTTCGCCCCTAGAGAACATCACCCTTGGTGAGTTAGCCCCTAGCCTTGTTGGGGTCATTGCCTCATCGTGCCCCTCTTGCGGCCTGGTGCGCGCCACAGAGCCCCTGGTGTATCTCCCTCGCCATTTCCTCGCCTTCGGCAAAAGAGATGCAGCGAAGAAAGGGTTGAAGTACCCCAGAGCGATATAGCTAGCCCGAGACCATCTTATACTTCGCGGCTCTGAGTTGCAGGTGCTTTGCTTCTGCTTCATCTTCCAGAAGCCAGCCAGTTTCAAGGTGTTTTACAAACGGAGTTCGCCAGTCGCATGGATCTACGCCCAGTTTCGCCTGGTCGATTGCCATGACCTCCAGGCTGTCCATGGGCACACTTGGTGCATATAGGACTTCAAAAAAGATGCCAGGCGAATGTGGGCCACCATAAGCAGCAGATTTCGCCAAGGCGTCTGCTTCCTCGTTCTGGCCTCTAGGTAAATGTTCGACCGTTATGCCGGTGAAGCACTTTTCCATAGACCGAACGGCCTCCAAATACCTCTTCATTCCTTCTTCTTTTGCCTCAAAGGATTTGTCAACATGGCCTGCCACCAACTTAGAGTCGGTTTGGATTAGCAGGCGCCGAATCCCCAATGCTTTCGCCTTTCTTAGGCCCAGAAGAATGGCTTCGTATTCTGCCACGTTGTTGGTTGTGTCGAACTGCAGCCTTGCGGCATACCGAATCGGCACACCACTTGGCGAAGTGAGTACTGCCGCAATGCACGCCCCCTATTAAATTGAGAATTTTTCTTGAGATCCCCAATTACAAGGCCCTATGGGACTATTTATAGCCCCCATTACAGGTTTTTACTACTAGGGTTTTGGTTATACATGGGAATTTACATGGTTGCCCTTATGAAAGGGACATTTACATGGGTACATAATGTAATTGAGGTTCATGGGCCCCTAATGGGCCGCCAGGCGATCATCGGCCCAATAGCCCCTAAGCTTGAAGGGCCGGAATGGCTTCTTCGGTCCTCACGGGGGCGAAATTGCTATGGCGAAGTCGTCTCCCTTCGGCATATACTCTTCGTCCAGCATCCTTCGCCCAAGAGGCCTCTGGCCCGGCAAGGTACCCGTGCGATTCCCCGCCTCTCGCCATCCTTGTTCCATAGCCTTCACCATGGGGAGGGGGCTTCGCCCTGACTAACCTTGACGCCTCGGGCTTGAATCCCCACTGGTCGCGTGGTTTCGGCAGGTTTGGTCGAAGGGCCTCATGCCATACCGCTAACAAATACCAACCGGGATAAAGATCCGGGGAGCCTGACAATCCCTGACACAATGTCAACTGAGACTGTTATTAACCTGGACTAAAGATCAAATAGTCCCGTTGCTCTTATAACCCGGGACTAAAAATCTTTTTTAGTCCCGGTTTTTAATGGATCCGGGACTATTATGGAATTGGTCGATCGACCAAAGATGGTTTCTGCAGTATTTGAAGACTTACAAGATCGTGACAATCGTTGAGAAAGCTAACACCGAGCCTACACTGTCGAATCGCGGAGGATGAGTTATCAGACAAAGTTTGCCCGGGGACAACTTTGGACAATTGTGTTCCAAAACAAGCTGTGAAATATTTTTTGTCACACATTGAAGTAAAAATATATATTATCCATTAGTATAAAAATAGCTAATTTTTGCATTTTCGTGGCCAATTACAGAATCCATTTGTATAAATAGCCGACTTTTACCTGCCGTGAGCTGCAGGCGGTTTACAAAACATTCGTCAGAGTTACCGACTGTCTGCGCGAATGTTTTCTGTATCAGTCACCAGTAGAAAAACAATTTTTCCCATGGTTACGATTTATTTTTCCAGACGAACTATAAAATCACCATTTGTAAAAATAGCTAAAGATACCATAAATCTAGTCCTGCCTGTGAAAATAGCATGGTCAAAAGAGATCCTCCTTTTCACAGGTAGACCTCTTAAGGCCATGCTTGTGAAAATCATTTTTCGTCGGCAAGACCTTAATACGTTCCACCTACGAAAAACTTATACCTCATAAACATCGCCAGCTACCAAGCCCCAATAATTTCCACAAGTTCTCTCCCTTCCCAGCTCTCCTTCCCTCTCCCTCACCTCACCCACCACCCTTCTCAGCAGGCGGCTCCCCTCCCTCCCTCCCACTTCAAACCAGGGGAGCATAGGACAGCAGCAGTGGTAGCTGCGTGAAGGCGACAGAGACGGCACTCCCCTCCCTTCCTCCCAGCTCCTAGATCCAGCCGAAGGAGGGGGAGCGACGGCCATCGCAAGCGGCGATTGATGCGTCTTGGAGGGGATGACGGTGGCAGCACGTAGGCGGCGCTCCCCTCCCTGGCCCTCCCTACCTTCTTGCTCCTAGATCCAGTCAGAGGAGGGGAGAAATGGCGGCGGCGGCCGGTGCGACCCTCCTACCTCCAAGATCTGGTTCTCCTCCCTTCCCTCTCCTTCCACAGTAGGTGAAGGCAGAGTGGTGCCGGGCAGGCTACCGCGATGGCAACGGCGCGGCCAGAAAATGAGGGTCAACAGTAGGTGGGGGGTGGGAGGGGTGGCGGGGGTTTTTACTTTTATTTGTTCATGGAGTATATTTTCGCAGGCGGGTGACTGAACTGCGGGACTGCTTATGCGCAGCTGGGCACGCGCCCAACCGCCTACTCGGTCACCTACTAGGCTACTACTAGTAGTACTTACTACTACACTACTGCTACTAATATACTCGGTCACCTACTAGGCTACTCTAATGTTCCGCCGGCCCAGGCAATTGTATCGTTTACGTTGGCGTCGTTTAAGGCTGCATCAGTACATTCGACCTCTTGGATTGCTCTGGTTTGGATGATATATTTGCCTATCTATTTATCATATGTCTTTATTAATCTAGTTTTAGCATATCAATTTAGCTCTATCGGCTGCTTCTCATTTTAGGGTTTCTGCCGGTATCGGCTAAATCGCGTTGCTAGATTAGATTAGCTTAGACATCTACCACCCTGAAAACTCAGTCAACGGCTTGATTGTCTAGATATTATGTTTCTTTTCATACTTAGTGCCGCATCAGTTAAGTTTGATCTACTAAATCGTGCTTAGAACCATAATCTCTAGCCTGCTTCTTGATTGCCAATAAGGGTTTCATCGGGGTTTCAGCCGGTGAGTTATCTGGATGTTGCATCGGCTCATAAGGATTGAATATACATATAAGTTGAATTTAGCCGATGACAACAAAGGTTTCACTGTTTCATCTAATCTATTAGATTTCATGACATCGGATCTCCAGCTGATGTGTGCTTTAACCTTCGGATCGATGCTTATTTATCATATCATTATTTGCCGATTGATTTATACTGGATTATATTGTTATTTTATAACATCATCATCAGCCGATTGCCTTTATATCATTATCTACATTGGACATATAGCCAATTGCTTAAACCCTATCGCTATCGGCTAGTATCGGCATCGGCTATTATCGGCTATCGGCTGGAACTACTCCATCGGCTTGCTAGCCGATCGGCTTATTGATCTATTATTTGCATATCTTGTCAATTGCAGGGTCAAACTGACTGGCACGCCCGCATCTCATCAACCTTTGGACCTGCACTGGAGCTAAGAAGATCTCCCAGACCAGTGTGTGTTTTTCACGTCAACAGGAGGGGAGGCGCGTGACTGATCGCTTTTTAGCGGTTTCAACTGAACCACTTGCAAAGATGGAAAGGCCGGCTGCAAAAATCAATTTCGCAGGTGGAGCCAATGGCTGCCTGTAAAATGCGTGCATTTTCACAAGCCTTTATGTGCAGGCAGGGTGGATGACAACCTGAAAAAATCTATTTTGCCCGTTTGCAAGATATGTTTTCTAATAGTGAGTATTACTATTGTACCGTGTTTAATTACGTAGGAGAAGTGATATTACTATGAACACTAGATTTTGATTTTTCTATGAAAATATTTTATATATATATATATATATATCACCTGGGGTGCGTAGTAACAATGCCTCACAACCTACCCCCCCCCCCCCCCCCAACGCACCAACCCACCCCAACCCCCCCGGCCCCCAGCGGTCAGACCTTTCTAGGATTTTACCATCGTAGTAAATCATTTACTGAACATCACACCGGCTGGTTAATATATTAATAGCGGTTTCCTACACCATAACCAACCCACCCATCCACTTTTTTGACCCTATTTTTCTAGATCTACAGGAAGTGGCGATCCGGCGGAGGAACCGGTAGCATCGACCGCCGACGGCGCGAGTTCTTGATGACGACCACCACCACCCTGGGCAAGGGAGTATCCTAGGCGGCGGCAACGACGACTCGATCGGAAGGCTTCTCCACTGCTTCAGCCAGCCCTCTAACTCCGGCGTCGGCTTCGTTGACGCAGATCGGGAGGTGGCCATTGATGGGGATCGACAGCGGCGATGGCGGTAGGCGACGACCATCCCGTTGTCCATCGGTTCCTCCAGCACCGATCTATACTTTCCTTTTCTCCTGTTCGTCTTCCTTTCTCCCATCTGATTAATCGTGAATTCCTCTGTGCAGCAATACTCAGGAAATTAGGAATGCGTCGATGGTGGTTGTTTGATTTCTCAAGAATGGGGCCATCGACCATGGCATCCAAAGCAGAGTCTTGCAAGTGTGGAGGACAGTGCCTAGACACCGCCCCATGAAGTGGCCCGCCCTGCAGGTCACGTGGGCACTCCGGCAAGGGCGACGAGCAGCGACGTACCCAAAAATTCATTAGGAAGTTGATGCGCACATCGCCGGCGGCCACGTCCATGGTCTGCACTAGGATGTGAGGATGGAGGGCACGCGTTTGCTTGAGATTATCGTCTCTGCCTGTCGATCTAGGTTCCATCAATGTGCTTCTTTGGATTCCTTTCTGCCATGTAGTGGTCAGGGACAGGTTATTTTTCCTGCTTGGTCATAGAGGGTCTCGTCTTATTGATAATTGATGCATTCTTGTGTTCTTGCTTCTGCCTGTTCATGGAGGTTCTTTTGTTTTATTGATGCAGGGCCACGGCGGTTCTTGGTGCATGCTGTGTTGTTGGGTTGTGGGTGTGGTTAAATATTCAGTGTTTTTTTCCCTCCAATTGATCATAAACGATCAGAAGTTTCCATATTGATGGTGCAGAGACCTGTCAGGGAGCATGCATCTCAGCCTGCTGTATTGTTAATTACTTAATTTCAGATTGTGCTTTCTTTCCTAGTGTATTGTTGTTGCTAGCCTCTTTAACAATAGCACTATTATGGCCACAAAACACTAGTTCGAGCGCCCATCCCTGACAATCAGGTGTTTTCAACGTTGATGTAGGTAGTAATCTGTGCAACACTGCAACATCCTTGCTTTGATAGATAGGTTAGCTGGTGGTCTCATCCCTGAGAATCAGGTGATCGATTCTTCTTAAGGACATTATTTCCATCTTTTTTTTAGACATACATGGATTGTTTATTTTATTTTCACACTACTAATATAGTTTTTTTTGCCATTATACTATAGATTTTACTGTTTTTGCTAAATAAAAGCTTACATTTTAAAGTACCTGTCCTATAGAAAGAGAAACATTGTTTTTTTACTAGTTGCTACATGTAAAATTGATTTTGTGATTGTATATCCTGATATTTTCTTGATTTCCAGATGTTATCTTGATTTTAGTTAGCTGTAGGTGATCACAATTGACAATATTGTTGCTAATGAGGCGGCTGGATCCACGGTGGAGCAAGTTGTTGCGACGGACTCCAACGCGGATGCAGTTGGCAGCGGGATTTGGCGTCGGCCGTGAGTCTCCAGCACCGACGCTGGTGGTGGTGTTTGGCGAGTTAGGATGTAGTCATTGGTTGTAACTTTCCTTTTTTCTAGATCAAGATGAATAATATGTATGCCTGTCTTCCATGTGTAAATTTCATTGATCATGTGATAGAACCAACATACAATTTTTAAGGAGGAAAGCTCACTCACACTGTAATATTGTATTCATGCCATGGAGGCTAATTGTAAAAATTACTCTGATCATATTAAAAATGCGAAAGCACCTGGCAGTAAAAATATTACTATCACAAATAAGGCATCGAGCTATAGAAAATGACCAAGAAGTAAAGATATTATCACCAGTAACTTATAATAAAAATTAACTAACCATAAGTAAATGTTTTACGATGCTAAAAGTACACTACGAAGCACGTATATATATTGTTGATAGTAATTATTTTACTCGTGGATTGATAGGGCTAGTAATATTTTTATCCATAGGCCAATATTGCTGATAGTAATTATTTTACTCGTGGATTGATAGGCTAGTGATCTTTTTATCCACAGGCCAACGAAGGAAGTAGCAGGAAAGAAAAAAAAACTAAAAAAAAAGAATAGGGAACAGAGAGCGGACGAAAAAAAGGATAGAGAGAGGGTGCGGTTTTTTTTAACAGAAAATAAAGTGCGGACGAAAAAAAGATGAGAGGGAGGGGTGCGGTTTTTTTTTGGCGGTTGGTGGGGATGGGGTGGGCGTGGGGAGGCTGGGTTGGGGTGGAGTGGGGGTGGGGGTGGGTATGTGAGTGCGGTTTAGCGCTATCATATATATATATATATATATACACACACCCTTAAATATACTATACTCAACATGCGTTTTAAATGATCGGTAAATAGCCAAAAGAAATCATACATGCATGATGAGTATATATAAAATCAGATATATACATAATTTAAACGAGTATGAAAAATTAATTAGCTATATACCCAACTTAACCGTTATCGAAAACTCGGGTATATACACAATTTAATTTGGGTGTATACCAAGCGGGTATACTAATATTTGTTTAATTTTGTTATGTATATTATACCTAATATACTATACTAAACATGCCCCTATAAATAATCGGTAAATACCCAAAAATCCTGATGAAGGATATATATACTCAACATGTGTCTTTAAATGGGCTATATAGCGAACAAGAGAGTCATGGTGCGTCACTATGCTCTATGCCCAGTATAACGCTATAGAGAGGGTCTCACATACCATCCGTGCATATATAACCAAAGAAATGATGTATGGTAAAGAATTTTAATAAATATTTTTTTTTTCAAAAAACACACGTACATAGGTACATGATTACTTGAATATCTGTCAGTCAAAATTAATTTCTGCGACATACCATACTACTATTTACTTGGTTCCCAAATTTCCAAATAATTATTTTTCCATATTTACAATTATTTAATACTTTCTTTCCATATTTTCAAAAACTTAGATTCTAAATTTGAGATGTATATTACCATATACCCAGTCGCGGCATTATTACCAAATAGTCTGTGCATCCATGCTTTCCGTTGTGACATAAATATATAGAAATTAACTGCCACCCAAACAGCATGCATGGATAAATAGTAAATGCGCACAATTTCTGTTCGTTACTCAGGTAGCTTGCATGCAACTTTGTTTACTTTCCAAACCACGTACTCTTAATGAGTGTACCCGTTAATCAACTACACAAACAACGATCCTTTCGATCAGCACCTCATCCGACGGCAAATAGCATTGGTGCCCAGGCACATGGAGGCCCATATGGGCGTCCTATATATATATATATATATATATGTATATATATATATATATATGTATATATATATATATATATGTATATATATATATATATGTATATATATGTATATATATGTATATATATGTATATATATGTATATATATGTATATATATGTATATATATGTATATGTATATGTATATATATATGTATATATATATATATGTATATACACATACGTATATATATACACATATATGTACATATACGTATATATATACGTATATATGTACATATAGATATATATATACGTATATACATACATATATACATATACGTATATACATATATACATATATACATATATACATATACATATATACATATACATATACATATACATATATATATATATATATAACCCAAGGTAGTGACTAGGGGTCTAGTCACCAGATATGAGAATAGGAATGCAGTATCTATATGCAATCTTGGATATGAGATTAGTATGTGACAATTGGATGGCAATCCAGGTTGTTAATTTTTTTTATATTATTATGCAAACATAAATGCAGTACAGGAAATAAAGACAAGCTATAAATACGAATTATGTACAAGATATAAAATTAGATATTTAGAACATAGTAGGTTTATATAGAACAGTCGAGGTGTTCATTCATATACCTTGATAGGTTGAAGGTAGATCCTTTTGAAGATTACACCAAGGACTTGGTACAACACGTTTGTAATTATACAGGTACAGGACTCTCACAAGGACTCTTACATAGACTCTCACACTTAGACTCTCATGAGTCTTTTATTTAGGTTATACTATAGTACTAACACTTAGATGGAGTGGAGTGGAGTGCGATGGCTGGTGGAGAGGTGAGAGGAATGGTTGAGTGAGATGTGTTGTGTGTGAAATGCGATGCCTCTGAAATATGATTGTGAGCCCCTTATATAGCGCTCGGTAGAGAATCTTCATGATATCTCTTCTTGACTTCAAAGAGTTCATGATATCCCTTTAGACTTCATGGAGAAAATCTTTTGGTGATGACGCTTTTGACCTTAGACTTATCTTATCTGGAATAGTGTAGATTCCTTATCTTGAATAGTGATCTTTGTCGGGAATGACAAGATCTTTATTCATTATCTTCGTTGATTATCATGGGTGTTGATTGCACCGTGTCAATCTCTAACGGCTCTGATTTCTGAAACCACTAAGCCAGGCTTCTGTAGTAACTTTTCTTGGAGCATTCATTTCCAAAATCTGGTTTAATTATACGCCCTGCTCCCTTGAAGTATTTATAACTTTGGTTGTAATATTTGCTGATAAAAATCCTTATGATCTTGTTTTGGAAAACCAGCTGATATTCATAATCTGTGGTGATAGCTTCTTCAATTTCTGCAGCTTCAGAAAATAATCTCCAATTTTCATGATTAGCAATTGTTGTATATATTTCTTCCTCTTCATCCGATAGTTTGCTAGGACCGTCTTCTTGAAAATTAAATTGTCCATTCATGATATATATAATGAATTGCTGGATGAACAGGTGGTGTAAATTTTGGTGGTATGGAGGAGAAGATAATCCTGTATCTTCCATGTCCAAGTCTCCTGCAGACACTTTCACAGCGCTTCCTAAATCAGATTGAAGGATCTGATCGAGGGTTGCATAGATGGAATTCACAAGACCATGATCTATAATGGTTTGGAGAGATATTTCTTCATGATTGTATGTGGGTAGGTTCCGGAATCTTTGGAGATTTATCTCAGCTTTGAGAACCAGGAATCTATAGGATGGGTCAGAGATTGCCTGATCATCTAGCCTTAAGAGAGGGAGCATATATATGATTACTCGTATGGCTGGGTTTCTTTCTCTTCCTTCTAAGAGGTCAAAGAAATAATCTTGGAGTCCAAGGAATATTTTCATTTGTCTCTCCTTAAACTTTTGCCAAACAAGATTGAGGATGTCTTGCCCAAAGCAAGATAAAGTTTGCTCCGTCTTGAAGCTTAATCTAGGTTGGAGATTTTCGTTTGTTGTACTCCTGGGATTTTGGCTTTTAAGTTTCTTTTGGCAAGAATCTTTGTAGGCACAAGATCTACATGGTGTTTTTGGCTGGGTCCGGAGTATATATTGTGGAAGGAATGAATTGGGATGATTATGCAGTATGTATGGTGTTTGGGGAATGGTATCATGCCTTTTTGTGGATGATGATGGTTTATTATGTGGAAAAGATTGCAATAGGTTATTGATATTTATGTGGAAAGCAACCATGCTCGAAGCAGGATCTGTTGAGATTAAAATCTTATCTGAGAATACCTTGGTATTCTTATATGTTGCCATAGATTGTTCAACTTCCATGGGAAGTTTATCTTGGCCATCACGGGATTTCTCCTCGCGAAAATCTAGTAACCTCTCCTCATGATGAGGGATATCTTGTAGTTTAGCCCTTTTTTCTGTTATCTTTTGATCTGAGGGCACGAAATTTTTGAAATAATATGCCAGGCCATTTAAGGCATGAGCTTTTTCTTTTTTCTTTTTTGCCTGCCACAAGAGGTTTAATAACCCTTGTTGTAGCTCTGTTACTCTGAAATTGTGATTAAACGTTCTCCATGGCCTCTGGGCAGTTGGGGCAGTCTCCATGAACTCATATTCGTGAACCATTCAGACTGCTATGAAGCCATTTCCCTGCATATATATTCAAAATTTTTAGTAGCTTTTAATAAATATATATCTTCCCATGATGTCTTTCCTGGCAAGTCCATAGATTTTGGAAGATATGATGGGAAAGAATTGTCATGTAAATATATTTTATTCACAACTTGTTCTCTTTTGGTCTGAACAAGCTGGTCAAGAATCTCATCTGTGTTAGACGAAAATCTTAGGCTCACCTGTTTGCCCATTATCTCAAATTGAATATCTTCGTTTGTGACAAGGAAGGGACGAATGAGTGATAAAAACGGTGTTCCTAAAATAACATCTTGCTTAAGATTTTTAACGAGTAGAAAAGATGTTTTAATGCAAACTTCAGATATGCAAATATAGATTTTAGGGATTTGATATTCTACTGTTAAAAGTCCTCAATCTGCCCCACGAATTCTGTGGGCGGCTTTACAGAAATATTTATGAGGGATAATACCTTCTCGAATGCAATTGACATCAGCACCAGAATCAATTAAAGTGATATGCTGAAAGTAGGATTCGTCTATAAAATGATACATAACTTCTGTGTACCATTTTTGCTTCATATATTTTTGAATGGTTCCAACAACCTGATCATCTTCTTGAATTGGTTCATCCTTTTCTTCCATATGGAATCCTTCTTTTAATTCTAACATGTATAATAGACGCTTTCTTATTTCTTCTAAATCTTGTTTCATAATTTTTTGGTCTTCGAATAGGCTGATCAAATCTGGTTTCTCATTCTTCTTTTTCTGTTCATCTAATCTTTTGAACACTTCATCAATAGAGAGGAATTTGCTCTTTTGAATATCCTTTTTTAGTTTATCCTT